TAGCTCTTAATGCTTCTCAATGTCTATGCTTGACTTCCTTGACAGCCTTCGTACGGTAGTCAGGACATTCGCTCCCTTTTGGCCGCACTCACTGCACGTTAGTCGATTTTCTGTTAATAAAGTGGCCCCTGCAGTCACGCACAAACCATCCGACTATTGGCTGGCTCCCATACAGGTAGTGCATGGTTTGCCGGTTCCGAGAAGGCAATAACCACACCATGTCTACCAGAGGAGTCGCGTAGGCCGTTGCGGTACAGGGTGAAACGGAAGCTGACTGCCAGTGAGATCTTCCTTGCATCCTTGCCTCAAACTTTCGGGATCAGAAAGGTAGACTACTAAGCGTATGGACGTAGACTATTTACCAATTCACAGTTTGTCTGTCCGGCAGGGCATCAGTACCATGTAATTTGCCCGCATTACGGCACACACTACGCACGAAATGCCAAATTTCACGTAAGAGCAATAAAGCTCTCTCACACCCCCTCTCTCCTTTTACTGTGTATGAATATCTAGTCTACGATTTGGTATATTGGCGAATATATTAACACCCGAACTCTTGAATTGGCGCATCCTCACTCTCTCCTCTCTTTCAGGCTCTGAATTTCGGAATCTGTCTACTGCAGACGATTAAACCGTTTATGCCCTCAATTTGGCTTATGTTTACATTCATCCTCTACGAAGGTATCCTTGGTGGATTATCTTACGTGAACACTTTCCATCGTATAATTACTGAGGTTAGTAATATCAGTCTCAATTTGTTGATTTCTCCTCCTCACCGAGCACCTGTTTGTTACGTTACCAGCCTCGCTTTAGAGTAACCCGATAATTCATCACTCGGGCCTCCATTGCGAGACTCCATTTATTTTTGCCACTTATCTCTATTTGCGGCGTATGCCGAGTGTAGACTTGTTTGCGTTCCCTCTTTTCTAACCTTCATTCCAGCCGCTGTTTCGTCGAATGGTGCACACCTGTTTAATCCTGGCATATATAATTTGCAGCATGTACAGTGTGGCGAGTGCTGCAAGAAACTTGCCTAAGTTTGTAAAAGTTTGATTATTTCTCGCATACCAGCTCGAAAGCATTTACGAAAACTTAGAAATAATAATGAGCAGCATTAGGCATATTA